ATTCGCCCAGATGTAATATCAAATGCATCATTATATGGTCAACCCGCATTCAACGATAAGACAGGATGTAGAACCCTAGTCTCTTGCACCGGTCTTCTTATGGCACACCTCGTAAACCGGGGATGAGCCTTGTGGCAACATGCTGTACTCGCCCATACCTTTGCACCTCGCACCGACTTAGCAGACAGTAGGCCGGTGAGCTGTACTGTAGCATTGGTCTGATGATAGAGGAAAAGAGGCGAGTGGTAACCTCTTCGGACCAAGTGCAGAAATTGCATTTGAGCGCCCAAGGTATGCGCATTCCGTTTTGGTAACGTTTGTTCGTGTTTTCAACGGATTTCAAATCGCAGCTTGAGAATCCTTCGAGATCTTTCACAGATGGCGATGGGTGTAACTGTTGGCCGGCCAGATTGTAGACTCGGCCACTACCACCCTTGCCAAGACTGATGAACACCGACTTGACCGGATTGATCGGAAGGCTGACCTTTTCTGACCACATGGGGAGGCGGTCAAGATCACGGCTGAAGCAGATCGTATTCGTCGGGTGCTTCAATTACCCTCCATACCTTAAGGTCATCTGCAAACAACGCGCAAGGTGAACTGAGAAGTTGTGCCTTGCGGGACGCCACTAGTCGAGGGATACCACTCCGTCAAGTAGTTGTCCACCTGCACCCTCCACCTCCTACCAATAAGGAAGTTACTGATCCACTGGTGCAATGATCCGCCAACACCACACATCTTCAGATTTCGAAATAGGATCTTATGGTTCACCTTATCAAGTGCTTTACTGATGTCGATGTAAAAAAAACGTCAACTGACTTCTCTTGCTTTAGCGCCTGCAGCCATTCGTGCCTCGAGAGCAGCAGGTTTGTAATGCATAACCTACCTTCCATGAAACCGTGCGCCGCGGGCGTCAAGATGCTTTTCGACTCGAAATGCTGCGGAAGACCACACTTCACGATCTTCTCGAGTGTCTTAGCCAAAACAGAGGTTAGGCAAATCGGTCGGTAGTTGTCCACCTTGCTTGGATCGCCGCCTTTCCAGTCGCTCGGCAGTGAACCGGCCTACAGCCACCTGTTGAATAGCTCATTCATCGAAGGCGAGATGAGGGCCGATATCGATTTGAGGATCAGCGGATGGAGCCCATCAGGCCCAGCAGGCTTGGTACCGTCAAGACTGGCGAGCAATTTGCGCACATCCTCAACGCTGCAATCCAGGCTGTCTAGCTCGGTAGGGGCGATATGCATCGAACTTGGCACGGACGCCTGGTTACTTGCAAAAACAGAAGCGAAGTGCGTCGCCAATGGGAAAGCATGCTCAGTGCTGGAAACTAGGGGCTGTGCATCCGAACCTTCCAACGTAGGCACATCACCTGTCGGCTTCAAGCTTCGCCTCAGGTATACAAAGGTTCTCTTGGGAGCTATATTTGCTGCGGTTGCAAGCTGCGCTTCGAAGTTTCGACGTTTGTTCGTTTTCGCGCTATTGCAGGCATTTCGTGGCCTTCTGTACGTCTCGTAATCTTCGGCAGAGCCAGAATGCACGAATTTATTCCATAACTGTCGAGCCATCGAGCCATTTTGACATACTCATTGTCAAACCAATGTGGCTTGACTGGTCCAGCTTTCCGATATTTGAGGCGCACAGTGATTCTACTTCCTCTCTGATGATAGATCAACACGCTTCAGCTGATGAGTTCTGTGACAACGACTGGTCCATCCAAGCATAATGATGATGATGCTGATGCTAGCCAAAACATCTACTAAGAACTATCGAGAGCGCTGCCAACCATTCCAGCTCAATCCGCTTTGGCTACGAATACTGATACATAACTTGATACTTCTATACAACACGACTCATCAAAACGTCCGCTGCTATTTGCCCTCCCTAGAACTAAAACATAGTTCGACAAGGGAGCTACGCAATAAGGAGTTTACCCTGAGTGTACCCAGGTGCAGGGTAAATCTGCGGTCTAACTTTTTCCTTATCAGATATGCTGTCCTATGGAATAAGCTTTCAGTCACAATCAGATCGTGTGAGAGCGCAACGGCCTTTTGCGTTAAGCTCACCAATTACCTAGATTTGAACGCGATTACGACCTCGTTCTCTTGGGAGAGATCACTTGATGATTTGGACAAGAAGGGCCAGACAACAACTAATAAGTAAACAATCATATCTTACTGTATGACACACCCCTAGTGCTGTTACCATTCACTATTTCAACTAGTGTACATTGTGTCGAAACACACCTGTGAGTTAATACAAACCGTTGAAACAGCAAAAGCAATGAAAATCACATAAATGTTTACCATTCATGCATGAGCATGACATATTCTGTAAAATATGATCTGTGCCAAATATGGCCACAGTTTCTCACTCAATGAGAAATATACCTATTATTATTATTATTATTCTTATGAGTACTGTATACTGAACACTGAGAAAATGCAGCCTCTGTGTATCTGCATCTAATATTTTTCATGCTTATCTGCTTATGATGTTTTTGGTAATCCGAATAGGGTCACATTTTAGCATTACTTTCTGCATTCTCTGAGCGGCTTGGATGCAACTGGACATGTGCTCACTAGATCTCAGTGTATTCCGTTCAAATTTCGATGCATAACCTCAAATCATACAGTTGTTGTGGCATTGCCTTCGTCCGGTTGACAATCGAGTAAATGATTTTGAGAACGAAACAAAATTGAGTGGTTTGATTTGGCCTGTTTTGTTCTGAAGATGTGGACTGGTTTATTCTCTTACTTCGTTCGTAGATGCCTGCAGAGACATTCGCATTTGTGTGGAGTGTCTCATTAGGGGTGTTTTTTGCCTGTGATACAGTCTATCAAGCATTTCTCCGAGCTTTTATGTGTAGCGGTTCAGGCATCTGGTTTACGATTTTCTCGCTCCATATTCGTATCTCCCTTTCTTGTGTGAGTCCGAGTGCCCCAACCGACGCACAATGGGATGCGATTGCAGGATATCGAAAAGTCGGTGTTAAGTATTGTTATACTACTGATTCATCATCTTTTTTTGTTTGCGTTTTGCCGGCTGTATTTATGTATCGCTGTATTTATGTGTCGCTAAGTTTGTCTGTTAATGTGCAGTCTCGCCGAATCTGGTTTTACGACATATTTATTGTCACTTTCATTCACTCTTTACTGTGGTTCTCTTTTAGTCGTTGGCTTTATATTTTTGTCAAGCTGTAGAACACTTTACATTGAACCCGATCACATTCTCGCCTACAAACCGTGCGCTCAAATTCTAGGCACAGTGTACCATGGGTTACTGTCCCCAATTCGACGCGTTGTTGTCTTACTTGACCGGCCGAGAGACACTGCAGCTGTATGCTCGCCTTCGCGGAATTCGTGAAGGACTGATCAACGTGGAGGTCGACCGGCTGTTGCATCAACTACAACTCACTCATTACTCAACCGTCCGCGTGGCTCATTACAGCGGAGGGAAGCGACGCAAGCTCAGTGTGGCAGTTGCATTGGTCGGAGGTACCCCCCTTGTTTGCTTGGACGAACCAACGACCGGAGTGGATCCTGTTTCACGACGGAAAATGTGGAACGTGCTTCTGCACGCACGACTGCAGGGTCGAACGCTAGTCCTGAGTTCCCACAGGTACCTAGTCTGTTTTCCGTCTGCGCATTCCGTTGTGTCTGTTTTTTTAATCTTCGTGTACCGTTCTTCGCCTTGTCGTTCCTCTGTTAACTAAAAGATCCATCTCTCTCACATTCCACCGAGATCGATCATAACCGTCTTGCGAATCAGCAACGGGTTCATAGTTTGTGCAACATATCTTCACATGCCTTCCTTATCATGACAACACTGCGCCAAGTGCTCCCGCTCCTTAGTACATATCTCATTTCTGGAAGCGTATCTTTCTCCAGTAGGATTATTGGATTCTCAGATCTCTAATTTTTCGAAAAACTCAACTCACTTAAACTGTTTTTAACACATCAACCTATATGGTGTTCTTAATTTTACTGAATATATAATAGTTTAAATTATATCATATGCCGTCGACATGCTGTGGGAGTTTTATCGTTCAGTTTGCCTGGGAGACAGCAGACTCTCGGAAAAGCCACCTTTGTGTATACAAATAAGTTCTATTAATCCGCTTCAGTAGAACTTGCTCGTCTATTCCTGCTAGTTCTTGAACAATGTGACGCTGTGCCTTGTTGCAAGTTGATCTAGTGCTGTTTGACTGTGATTTCGCAACCTTTACGGCCACTCTGTTAAAGGAATATTCCCATTTACCTCGGTTATATGCCATAGGTTTTAGCAGTTATAACGCTCAAACCGCTATCCTTCCAAACACATTTATCTGTCCAGTTCGTCAACTTTAGACTTTAGGAACGTTATTTTATCATAAAATGTCATCAAGAATCCTACTTCCAAGTGATCAAAACTTTCGCTCCCACAGTCTTCAAATACTGTGCGGACATAGCTACTGTATATATATATATATATATATATATATATATATATATATATATATATATATATATATATATATATATATATATATATATATATATATATATATATATATATATATATATATTTGCAAAAGTCTGCTAACAGACATAATGTCATCAGAAACCATGGGTTTCAAACGAAGGTACAGAAACAGTAAAATAAAACACAACACAACCATGTCCATGGTTTCCTCAGAGGGCGAGATACTACCCGGTTGCCCAAGCCGAAGTAGGGTGTTGACTTAGGGGACACCACCCCGAGCCTTTGGCTGAATAGCCTGCCCGCAAGGCAGCGGAGCAAATTCAGGGAATCGCGCCCATTGGGAGCCGGTGACTGATTGCTCAGTTCATACGCCTTTCGTTTGTTCCTTTGTAAAACAGGGGCCCAATGCTCCCCAGAAGTACAGCATATGGTTGCTGGAATACAATGCTTCGCCAGGATGAAGCAAGGGGCAGTGACTTTATTTAGTGGCGAGTCACGTCCGCCACGTCACAGTGTTGTTAAACGGACATATGTGGCTTTTTATAGGGAGAACGCTTGCCAGGCGAAAACCCACCACGTCCTGGAACACTGCCGCCGAACCATTTGCTGGAACGGGAAAATCCCGAACCACCCAGCTGGCACCACGAGGAGGTTGTTCGGCAAGCCAGCCAGCTACTGTGTAGTGGAAGTGGTAACCTCGGAGACCAGCCACTGTCCTCTGCAAATTACTAACTTGCATGGCAGTAGTGAATAGGTCGCGTTGTATATTAGTTATCTTGCAAGTTGGGACAGCTGCTGCCTAATTGGCATCAGCCTCTAGTGGTCGTGAGTTCGATCCCCAGCAGGCGACCTAGGGGGTACGAATCACTGACGAGCCCCAGTAGGGCGAAACGATCGTCTGGTGCTTTTCAAAGTTGCGCTACACCAATCTGGTCTGAAGTAACATTTCACCAAAAATCCTTGTGCTCGTAAGTTATCCTTATCTGATAGGGATTGGGAGCTCTAACAAAGTATTATGTGAGTCAGTGAAGCACTCATCTGTTCGTCTACTTTCGCCAGTGTGTTATTCACGGCTGTCCTTTTTCGCCTTCCTACTCATGTGACACAGTAGACAATGCAGGCTGATAATATTAACACCGTTTCGATGTCATTAATATATTGCCTGATACCGGTGTGTAAATATATTAAAGTATTATTGGTATTTTTTGTTTTCCTCTGTTTACGCGTCACTTCCCTAGTTGTTTTACTCCACGTTTGACCTGATTTGTTCCAGTGTTCTCCTATTGCTTTTTCTCGCACCCTGGACTAGTTCGTCAGATGTTTCTGGAAACACCTGCGTCATATATTCGATCTTAGCATCGCTTCTCATTTTCTGGTCCGATCACAAACTACTTTTCCCTTTTTCACCTTTCATCCAGGCCCAATTCTTGTTGTTAAAGATTGCATGCCCTTGCGTCGATCACACCATTTTGTTTTCCATTAGCAATAATCTTGTTCGTTCGTTTGACCTCATCCTGGAGTTGTGTCTCGATGATTTCACCATCAGCCGATGTCCAGCCTCATCATTTTAACAACTTTTACTTCCCCTACTTCCTGCGTTCCGTCTGTGCAGCATGGAAGAATGCGAAGCACTGTGCACTCGAGTCAGTATTATGGTGAACGGTCGTCTCAAGTGTCTAGGCACTTGTCAGCACTTGAAAGCACGCTTCGGTCGTGGATACAGCCTGACTCTACAGGTAGCGAGACCTCAGCTGCAGAGTCATTCTATCTACACCACAGTGGACGTCGTTGAGGACTTACGTCGGGTGCAACAACAGGCTCTTGAGGAACTCGTGTCACGAGTTCAGCTGTTCGTAACTGAGCACTTCCCAACGGCCCATCTCGTCGATCGACACCAAGTGGGTTTCTTCAGAGTACAGCGCCGCTATCCTAATCTACTCTTTCCTTGTCAGTATATCCCATCGCGCTTTGGAAGGTCATACGAACAAAGGTTTGCCTTGTGCTCGATTCCACCCATTAGCCATCCGCTGTAATCTGCGTAGCGGGCACATGAATTACGTAATGGTTGCTGTACACGTTAATGCGAACTCACTCTAAACGTCGCTTTAGACTTCCCACCACTGCTACGCTGCGACACAGGTTGATATCGCGAAGACGGAACCACTCATCATTCGGTATGGCTGGCTGGTAGATAGTTTTCGGCCTCAGCTTAAACAGTTAGTCATCCTATTAATGGGTAGTGGGGGTTTACTCTTTCTAAGAAGATTCATCGCGGTGTGACTCGACCAGACAACCACCACACATCCAAGGAAGCGCTGAACGGTCATTTCGTCCAATCTGGACTCGTCAGTAGCGCGCATGCTCTTACGCTTTCGAGTCTATACTTGAAAATTATACCCATGTGATTGCTAAAACACAAGGTTGCGAAGAGCATTCTTTTGTAGGCCAGAGACATTGGAAGCCGAAAAGAGTTGTATTTTTCAAACGCTGCAAGTTAACTGTCATCCAGCCCCGTTCATTCAAAAGTACGTAGTGATTCATGATCGGCATGAACTGTCCCCAAGAAAGATGTGTTTCTATCAGTTACCTTCAAGGGGAATATTGCTTTCGATTTGCTGAACAAAAGAGTTTCCGCTGCAATAGCTCGAACGTTTCCAGCTGCATATCCACACATCATTGCCGAAACCGCGCCGTTTGTTACCCAGCGTCTCAAATACAGACTCCTGGTCCAGTCCAATCGGTCGGCCGGTGGCCGAGTGGTCTGCGCGTTTGCTTTGCAACCATAAGATCACCGGTTCGAATTCGCGTAGGGGTGGGCGTCCTCGCGGTATACACAGCCCGCGCGCGACTGGTGGTGGTCGCGCGGCAGCGAAGCGCCGCTGCGGCGTATAAGCTGACACCTTTCTTTCTTTTCTTTCTTCCAGTCCAATCTTACATTCTATATCAAATTACTTGCACCCGTGGTGTGAGTTACGTCGGACATACGACTAGGCGTCTGTCTAAACGGATATCGGACCACTGTCCCACGGCATTGCAGAAAGGTACTGTCGGTTGCATTAAGAGTTCGATCCTAAAACATCTGCTCGAAAGTGGACATCAAATCAAGGCTACTGATGCTTTCAGGATGTTTTATGTTGTACCCAAACTCTACCCCAAGGGGCTTAGGGAACGCATGTTACGGACGACCGAAGCCATTGCGATCAGTCTTACACAACCTGAACTATGCAAACAGAGAGCGCTTATTCAAGCGATCCTTCTGCCCTGGGGCGAACACACTTCCAAATAGCTTTCACTCGACACGTTGGCAATCACCGGCTGTTGGGTGCGTCATCCAACCAGCTGAAAAGCACGTGCTGTCTCCTGAGCATGTGTGTGTGTCTATGTCTGCCGCTGCCTGAGTAGATCGGCCAATTTATCGATTATGACAGCTCATTTTCTGTCTCGCTCTTATTCGCGAATCTCTGTCGCGCTTCACTAGCCAATCTTGCTTCAACTTATCATTTTATAATCGTTAACGCCTGATGAGATTTATCGAAAAGAGTGCTCTTCGCAACCTTGTGTTTTGAGTCCTGTGGCTTATGCCATTGATCCGTGATTGATGTCTAACTGCGATATACCGTAGCAGCTTACATGTCATCTCGATCGGTGGCGGCTTGCAAAGGAAGTGGTTGCTCTGGGGGCCAGCCCCTCTCCTCCACACGTTCATAACGCATAACAGTGAAGGATGAGCCGCGGTATGTCGCGGTTAGATATCAGTCATGGCAGTCCGCCACCGCCTTTCACCTGCCGTAGCTGGGCGGTTATGTAAGTGTGGCACGCCGCCTTAATGTGGATGTGGTTGTTTAAACATTTCCTCGTTTTTGCGGAATTTGAACGACGTCAACGCTTTGTTCTACTTCAATAAGCCCTGTATTACAATGTGTTAAACTGCTGTTGTCTTTCCAAAAGAACAGAAGCAATGCGTGCGAAAAATACATATACGAGTCTTGACTACATTTGCCCCTCAGAGCACAGCGTGATTCCGAAGCATTAGGAGTAATTACAAATATATATATATATATATATATATATATATATATAGCGTCGCAACCCGTTGGGAGCCGGTGACCATATAGATGGTTCGTGCGCATTTCGGTCCGTGAATGACCAGGGGCCCAACGGACCTTTGAAGTGTAATGCATCTCAGGAAGGGGCAAGACATAGTAACTTTATTTAGTGGCGAGTCACATACGGCACGTCACAGTGTTGTTAAATAAACGTTAGTGACTTTTTACGGGGAGAACGCTTGCCAGGCGGAAACCCACCACGTCCTAGCACACTACCGCCGAACCATTTGCTGGAATGGGAAAAACCCGAACCACCCGGCTAGCACCATCAGAAGGTTATTCGGCAAGCCAGCCAATACGGATGATAAGCTCGCGCTTTTTGAAAAATGTTGCACATCCATCACTAAATTCGTTATGTACTATGCACTCCAGTATTTTTCAAAATTGTCTATGGTTTATCTACGCTGTCCTTTCAGTGGTGCCCTGCCAACCACGCTCCGCACGTCCCTCTTTTTTCATTCTTGTCTCGATGCTGTTTGCCCTTCGTTCCATCTCCCTACCCCAGGATGTTATCCAATATCACTTGCCCACCTCTCTTCTGCGGACCGTTGGTCTCTCGGACATCTTTCGTTTGATGGAACAGAACAAAGATAAGCTCTCTTTGGTCAATTACTCTGTCAGTCAAACTACTCTCGAACAAATTTTCACCGATTTGGCCAAGCTGCAAGAGGAACCCATGTCAGCACGAGACACGCCTTCGCATAGCCTGTTGTTGAGGCTGTATGCGGCGGGCCAGTGTTGCCGACAATGTTACGCCACGAAATGTTGCTCCGGCACACCAGACCCAAGTGCGGACACGGCACCGTTGCTTCTATAGACACTACGGGTGTAAACATTGGTTGTTTGTATAATCGTGATTCTGCTCGTCTTTTCCATCGTGCCACTGTGTGTTTTTTAACTCCTTCGCTCCAGTTCCCTAGCACTGTCTTCATTGTGATCCGTCACCCCCCAGTCGGTAACTTTTACCATACTCTCTTCTTTGTCCTATCCACCGTTGTTTTATTCCAGCTAGTATTGATGGAAGTTGTTGATCTCTAATTTATTTTATTTTCTACATCGATTCTTCTTCTCTGCCCCGCCGTCTTGCTGCTGCTCCACCAACTCTCGTTAACCTCAGCCGCTACTAAATCTTTCTCTTTAACGCTGTGTTGTGTGATGAAGAAGTCCATCCCTTAGGTCGCACGGACCTGGCTCTCGAGGCACCTAATCGAATAACCTATACAGTGGACTATTGCGGCACAGTAGCTGAGGTGTTTCCTACCTCTAGCTAACGTGTATAGTTTGTGTGTCTACTATTAGCAACCGGACATGGTTTACACCGCTTTCGAATGATGTCGAACTGTTCAAGGTGTCCAATGAGAACCTTTGTAGGGTAACACATAGACCAATAAATGTCTGGATCACTGAACTCGTCAATAAATCCTAAACCCGTTGACGGCCAAGCGGTTCGTATGCTTTTTTAAGGTTTAAATAACGATCAAACACAGGAACCTTTAGCCATCACCGTTGTTTATTTGCCGTTTGTAAATTCGCCGTTCATTGTGATGGTGACCCTATACTCAGTTGCATGCGGGTTCAAAATGGTCTCGTACGCGTCCTTTGGGTTTGTTGGGAAGCC